TTTTTTTTTTTTTTTAATAAGCAAATTATGATATATTATGTGGAAAACTCCATTTTAATATTTCAGACTCTAATAATCAGGTTTTTCCCCCCAGTGCTGTTTGAGTCAGAGCTCAGGCATGTCTGGGAATGGAATAAAGGTTTGATTATAATACTAATAATTAGGGCGGTAACGATACCAAAATGCAACAATATGTATTGTGTACAATTCACCCGAAATGAAAATTACTGTGTGAGAAAAAATTCAAGTTTACAGAGTTTTAGTGTCATTGCTACATTAAACTACTATATATAATGTTGAATATAATGTATAAATAATGCAATGGGGGAATATTTGTGTGTCCTGTTATTATACATTATTTTAAATATATCTAGTCAGTGACTAGATATTCTGTATTTTTTTTTAGCTTCAGAATCATGAATATTTTTATTCTGGAGTCACCATTGTCCTTTGCATTGAGTGACCAGCACCGAGTCCAAGCATATTCATTTCCACCCCAATTTAATACCAAATCTAGCATTTTAATCAACAGTACATTTTCTGTTAACCTTTTACCGTGTGTCTTGGGAGTATCCCAAAAATATTGTATTGTGTGTTCAGTGTTGTGATATGTATTGGATCCTGACAGGCATCGTTACTCCCCTACCACTAATAATGCTAGTAATTTAATTACTGTTATTGTCTTTTTCAGCTCTGCGGGGTCTGACCTGGAGTGAGCAGAACGTGTGTGTTTCAACATCCCTCCAAACACAGCGTAAGAGCAGCTAAACGTGTCGCGATGGCTGGATGCTGGTGAGAATAGACGGTGTGTTTCTGCTGTATGCTGAGATTAACAGTAGCTGAAGCTGATTCCTGGGGTCTCTCAGCGCATCCATCAGAGGGATGGAAAAATGGCTGGAAAAGAGGAGCATTCACACTGTGAGTATGCATTATCAGATCGGCTCTAAGCCTTTCACATCACACTGCGCACAGCATTTGTGCTGGGGGTTCAGTGGCACAATACAATATTCAACAAACACTTTGGATGATTTGGATGGAAACCCAGCCACTGTTTCAAGGGTATAGATTAGGGCTGCACGATAAGGAATCGAGGAATCGAGATCGCGATTCGACAGAAACTGTGATTGTCATGCGTATCTTTCAGTGAAGCACGGTTCTGTGAAAATCTCCATCATCTCAGACCTCAAATACATATTACCCTTTTTAGACATCGTTTTTGAAGTAAAGAGTAAAGAAAATACTATACAAAACTTATTGAAACTAACAGTTTTTTTTTACTTTTATTTTTATTGAACACATGGGACAAAGGCTCATCATGGGCATTACAAAGTCAAGACACTACAACTTCCACACATTCTTTGGAGTACAGTATCACTAGGGCTGCACGATTACTCGAATGCAATTGTCGTGCGCATTTTGTTAAAAAAAGCCGGTTCTGTAATCAGCAGGAAATCATCATCACGTGCTTTCAGATGGAGCAGCATTTACTACACAGAGCCGTAGTTCACTGAGAAGCTATGCAAACAGCTGTCATTATCGCAAACGATTTCTTCGATTTCAGAATCGCGCAGTAAAATCGTCTGCGATTTATTTTGCGTAGCTTGTCAGTGAACTACGGCTCTGTGTAGTAAATGCTGCTCCATCTGAAAGCACGTGATGATGATTTCCTGCTGATTACAGAACCGGCTTTTTTTAACAAAATGCGCACGACAATTGCATTCGAGTAATCGTGCAGCCCTAGTGATACTGTACTCCAAAGAATGTGTGGAAGTTGTAGTGTCTTGACTTTGTAATGCCCATGATGAGCCTTTGTCCCATGTGTTCAATAAAAATAAAAGTAAAAAAAAACTGTTAGTTTCAATAAGTTTTGTATAGTATTTTCTTTACTCTTTACTTCAAAAACGATGTCTAAAAAGGGTAATATGTATTTGAGGTCTGAGATGTGGGAACGGTGAAGAGAGAGAGAGAGGGCAAACATTTAGCATTTTAGCTCAGCATTGCTGTCTAATCCGCCAATATTGTCTTAAATAGCCTGCAGAGCGCTTCATCTTTTATAACATGGGATTTCAACCAAATATATTCAATCTTGATTTTTGTAAAATGTTGCACTTGTACTTATATATAATACTTTTGGACATGTAAGGTAATAAAAAATATTTTTAAAAATACCTTAAAGTAACTGCACATGAGCATGTAAAGCAAATATCTTCAATAGAAATTCTGTGGAGCATGCCCCCGATGCTTTATTTAAATTTAGTATTTTGTATTGAGTGCCACTGTATTGTTTTTATAATGTATCATCTCTGTTTGCCGTGAAACCGATCAAACTCAATAAACTTAAAGGGATAGTTCACCCATATCAGCACACCCATTAACGTAAACTACGGCAGAGCGCGTACACCTCTCACACACCGGATGCCTGCGTGTACAAAGTCACCTACATCTTGGATGCCCTGGGGGTAAGCAGATAAACATCACATTTTCATTTTGGGGTGAACTATCCCTTTAAGTCATGTCTGTAGTGCTCAATTCACAATATACTGTATGTTGTGCAGATTTAGTGTTTTGTGAATTAAATGAAAGCTTGGTTTTCTTTTAGGCTCGTATCGGTTCATTCAGCAGCACATCATGAGAGGAACCGACCCGAGGGCCATTTTGAAAGACCTGCTTCCCGAAACGGACCTCCCGGCGGATCTCGACGACATGACGCTGTGGCAGATCATCATCAACATCTCAGAGCCGCCCAAAAGAAAGAAACGCAAAGACATCAACACATTAGAGGACGTCGTGCGGCTCCTGAACGAGAGGAAGAAGATACTTGTGCTCACTGGCGCCGGGGTGCGTTTATGATTTGTGCTTTCAGACGCACTCGGAGTATGTGTCCAGTCTCTCAAATATTGATTGGTTGCTCTTGTTCCTCCACAGGTGTCTGTTTCTTGTGGCATTCCTGACTTTCGGTCTAGAGATGGCATATACGCTCGACTCGCTGTGGACTTTCCTGACCTTCCTGATCCTCAAGCCATGTTTGACATAGACTACTTTAGAAGAGATCCGAGGCCTTTTTTCAAATTTGCCAAGGTTCGATACACTGCCTTCTCATTTGCATTTCAACCATTAATGGAAAACAATCACTGTAATGATATGTTTTTAAATAACGCAAGACACTACAGGTGAACCCATAGTTTTTAATGCATCGGTTAATTTGGTCTATTTTGCTTCCATAGTGGAAGAAAAAAATCCAAAACACAATTTTAACTCTATTATGTGACCCTGAAGCACAAAAGCAGTGTTAAGTCGCTGGGGTATATTTGTAGCAATAGCCAACAATACATTGTATGGGTCACAATTATACATTTCTCTTTTATGCCAAAAATCATTAGAATATTAAGTAAAGATCATGTTTCATGAAGATATTTTATAAATTTCCTACCGTAAATATATCAAAACTTAATTTTTGATTAGTAATATGCATTGCTAAAAACGTAATTTGGACAACTTTAAAGATGATTTTCTCAATATTTAGATTTTTTTTTTTTGCACCCTCAGATTCCAGATTTTCAAATAGTTGTATCTCGGCCAAATATTGTCCTCTCCTAACAAACCATACATCAATGGACAGCTTATTTATTCAGCTTTCAGATGATGTATAAGTCTCAATTTCGAAAAATTGACCCTTATGACTGGTTTTGTGCTCCGGGGTCACATATGTCAACAAAATCAAACAAGAATTTTGAACTTGAATGTTCTGTTAAATGTATGCAAATTATTGGATATTTAATTATATATAATGCACTGTTTGCGTATCAAAACGTAACATTTCAGAAAACCTGTAGTAGAAAACAATTGTCTTAATGCACTGTGATTAATCATAGTTAAAATATTTACCCTATTCAGCAGTTGTTTTGTCATAAAGGTTTGCATTTACATTTATGCATTTGCATACATTTATGTATTTACAATTGCATAAATAACAATATTCTCTGTTTGCTTATACTGTAGGAAATCTACCCAGGACAGTTCCAGCCATCTCCATGTCACAGGTTCATATCAATGCTGGATAAGAAGGGAAGGTTACTGAGGAACTACACTCAGAATATCGACACACTGGAGCAAGCGGCTGGAATCCAGAAGATCATTCAGTGTCATGGTATATCTGCCCCTGATTCCTCATTTAAACCTAGATGTTCATTATTCTGTCAGTATCTAGACTCTTTTATTATCCTCTGTCTTTTACTAATTATTTTAGGTTCCTTTGCGACTGCTTCCTGTCTTGTCTGTAAACATAAGGTTGACTGTGAAGCCATAAGGGAGGATATATTCAACCAGGTATGCTTGAGTATGAAAATTTAAAGGAACAGTTCACCCAAAAATGAAACTTTGCTGAAAATGTGATCACCTTCAGATCATCCAAGATGTAGGTGAGTTTGTCTCTTCATCAGATTTGTAGAAATGTAGCATTGCTTCAGTGTCTCCGCAACGGATGCTCTGCAGTGAATGGGTGCCGTCAGAATGAGAGTCCAAACAGCTGATAAAAACATCACAATAATCCACAGCACTCCAGTCCATCAGTTAACATCTGGAGAAGACAAAAGCTGAAACTAATCCAGCATTAAGACGTTTTTAACT